TTTGGCAACTCATTCAATCACTCACCCACTCACTCGTTCACCCACTATTCATATTCCTAGGGTCTTTCGGTAAAGTCACGTAGGTAAAAAAATGTAAATTAATAAAAGTTAAATAAAACAAAATAAAAAAATAAAAAATCACGACGTTTCGGAAGCAACACAAGCCTCCGTCTTCAGGTGGAACCGTCACAGCCACGACAGCTGTATCAAGTAAATGAGAGATCACAATAAATACCACCCCGTATATATAATGGTTGAGGGGGGAAGGGCCAGGAACGACACACTTTTTATTAATATGGTAAGGTGAGGCTTAAGACTAAGAATAGACTGCATAACTTTGTTATGGAGAGGTGCGGTTTGTAACTAACACCTAGCATACATAACAAAAGTGTGAAAAAAGAAAGCAAGTAAAAACTAAAACTGGTAAAACAACAAACTGGCTGTCTATCAATAACCTGTAATAGTTGTCTGTCAAATAAGATGGTCAAAATAAGTGTAGTTACATCTTCACCCACTCTTCATTCAATCACCCACCCACCCATACAACCACCTACGCACTCACAACTGCTCCACTTTGGAATTCTCTCTCCACCATCATCACCATCGTCCACCCCCCCCCTCCCCCAACAATATATTACAACAATTTCAACAATAACTTTGCTCGATGCAAGAAACGTGTTACACTCGAAATACATTGCACGTCTGAGAGTGATGTATGTTGTTGGCCGCTTGACGTTGATGGACGCTTCGTCCTGTGCACTGCGACGGCGATGAATGTTACACCAGGGGTCGGGAACCTTTTTGACTGGGAGAGCCATAAAAGCCAAATATTTCTAAATATATTGCATTGAGAGCCATATAGTATTTTTAACGTATAATAAATTAAATATGTATTACTTTTAATGCGACTTCTGGTGCTGCGTGGTTTTGCTGATGGCCTTGTAGTCTGGGTCGTACGTGGTGAGGTTGAGCTTCATGCAGGCGTTGAGGCCCCGTGACCCGTGAAATTTATCTTCAAAACTAATTTCTGTTTACTTTAAAATGACACAGTATTATTAAGCAATATCACAAGTATTTTAAAATCAGTTCCAAACTGATATTTTTATTTTATTTTTTTCAACTCAAAATTGTCTGGGAGCCATATGCCGTCACCAGAAGAGCCATATATGGCTCGCGAGCCATAGGTTCCCGACCGCTGCTCTACAGGGACTCTCGGTCCGAACGGGCCAGTGGACATACGGACAGGTTTATCGCATCTGTGAAAGTTCGCAAGTCGAATATTCGTAAGTAGAGTGGGGAGGTCCCTTGGAACCAGAGGTCGCAATCGGGTACCCGATAGCCGTACCCTACCCGACCCCGGTGCGGCCGGGTACGGGTACGGGTAGGCAGTGAGTCACAGGTGAGTCACCGTTTGTCGCTCCAAGCCTGGGCTTGTCATTCAGACTATGTCTTCTCGACATACCTGTTCTTCACCTGAGGACGGCTGCTTGCGTTGTGACCGAAACGTCGTGAGAATTATTTTCTTAGTAATTTTTTTTTAATTATTTTATTATTTCCATTCTACGTGACTTTTTTCGGGAAGGATACAGGTACGGGTAGGATACGGCTACCTGTACCCGGCCGGGTACGAGTACCCATTTGCGACCCTGGTGCGGCCGGGTACGGGTAAGGAATCAAAACCCGTTTGCGACCACTGCTTGGCACACGGTGTTGAAATCGCGCATCACGACGACTCAGTAAGTCGCAGTCGCCACCTCGAGGAGTTTCCGCGCAACTGAGTCGAGCATTGAGTGCAGCCGAAGCCTCGAACCTCCCCACCACCACCACAATGTCTCTCCTCCTTCGCCTCGTTGTCACGGACTCATTCGTTTGCTCGTAGCAAAATCGTTCATTCTCCGCGAACAGCAAAATCGACGTAGAGCCACGTTTGTGCCGCCGTATCCACTCCACTCGGTCGTTTGGTGATTTGGAAAAGTTTTTTGGTTTGGCCATGTTTTGTTTGTTGTAGTACGGAGTTAGAATGATGGCTTTAATCTAAGTTGACTTGTGGTTGTTGTTGTTGTTTGACTTGCATCCCACTGGGATTTTTGCACACAGCGTTGGTGTACGGTGCCTTTTTTTCTGGAAGACTTTGCAGTTTTTTCCTGGATTTTTCTGTTTGCGCATAGTCACTTTAAGATGTTTTCTTGTTCATGTTTTTGTTTGTTGTGTGTTGCGGTTGCACCCGATTCAAGAGTCGAATGGCTCACAGGGCTATACCAAATAAATGAAACTGAAACAAATTAAACACACACACACACAAAGATGTGGAATCACGAAGTAAGCCCACTGTGGTCTGCGCCCCTTCAACGGAGGAAAGGCAAAACGACACGGATTCTCTCTGTCGCTCTCTGACCTGAAGGCCCTCTCGTTGTGGCCACCAGGAGACCTTGGACACTGATATCTCGCTCTTGACCCTATAGCTGCCATACGTAAGAATTGATATGATACATTTTAAGGTTTAGTCCATCGGCCCACATCATCAGGTGGCATTTGTTTAAGCAAGCAAATGGAACATATCCACGCTGCTATACCCACGCATTCTGTCATTGCAATCACAACCATTGTACATCACAATCATTGTAATAACACTAATTGTAATCACAACCATTGTAATTGAAAATAATTGTAATCGCAATCATTGTAATCACAATCATTGTAATCAAAATAATTGTCACAATCGTTGCAATCAAAATCATTGTAATCACAATCATTGTACCTCACATCCATTGTAATCATAATCATTGTCATCACAACCATTGTCATCACAATCATTGTAATCACAACCATTGTAATTGAAAATAATTGTAATCACAATCATTGTAATCACAATCATTGTAATCAAAATAATTGTCACAATCGTTGCAATCAAAATCATTGTAATCACAACCATTGCAAATCACAGCCATTGTACCTCACAATCATTGTAATCACAATCATTGTAATCACAATCATTGTAATCACAATCATTGTAATCGCAATCATTGTAATCAAAATAATTGTCAACCATTGTAATTAAAAGCATTGTAATTACAATCATTGCAACTCACAGCCATTGTAATCACAATAATTTCAATCATAACCATTGTACATAACAAACATTGTAATCACATTCATTGTAACCACAATCATTGTAATCACAATCAGCTACAAACAAGATTCCGGCTCAGCGGTCGAGCGAGACGATCGCAGCCAGAGAGGATTGTGAGCTCAAATCCTGGTTGGAAAGGAGTTGACTCAATCCATCATCCATCCGGGGTCGATAAAAGCACCACCACGATGTGGAGAAGATCAAGTCACGCTTATTTTGTTGAACCAGGATAGTCTATTTCGATTTAAAGCTTTCGTGACTGCAAGGATTCATCTTCTTGGTTCTTTCGGTAAAGTCACGTAGAAGGAAAATAATAAAATAATAGAAATAAAACGTAATAAAATACAATTCTCACGACGTTTCGGCCACAACGCAAGCAGCCGTCCTCAGGTGAAGAACAGGTCTGTCACCTGAGGACGGCTACTTGCGTTGTGGCCGGAACGTCGTGAGAATTGTATTTTATAATGTTGAATTTTTATTTTTTTATTATTTCCCTTCTACGTGACTTTACCGAAAGAACCAAGAAGACAGAATAGTCTCATTTGCAACAGCGGTCGTTCTCTGGACAGACGCGCTCCCACCATAGGAACGTGGAATTTCCACAATTTGAGCAGACCGGTGCGAGTGAGGGTTGTGTTCACCATGACTCGGATCATTGCGTTTTGTGTAAAAGCTTTGCGCCGAACTCGGACCCGTTTCTAACTTAGAAGGGGTGCTTGCCTACAGGCATCCGATAGTTCACCAAGCATTGGTTCAAGCACGCCAACTCTATAATGCAGCTTTTGGAGGGGGTTAAAACGCGATCTAATCCACAAAGACCCCATTATTATGAATGATATCGGTCGCGAAAGCCTACGTGCTAAACAAGTCAACTCTGCCGATGAGAAACCCGAATGTGGATACCCGCTCCACAGCAGTTTTCGTACTCTTAGGTTCTTGCGGTAAAGTCACGTAGGTAAAAAAATAAATGAAAATAACTAAATTAAATAACGACGTTTCGGAAGCAACAGGCAGTTTTCGTGTTCAACCGATGCCTCTGAAGGTACCCACATGCACGAAGGCCGCGTGGCTGAGGGGCAGAGGTCGCAATCGGGTACCCGTACCCTACCCGATACCCGGCTACCCGTACCCGGCCGGGTACCCGGCCGGGTACGGGTAGCCGTTTGCGACCCTGGTGCGGCCGGGTACGGGTACTGGTAGGCCGTGAGTCACTGGTGAGTAACCGTTTGTCACTCATTTCCCAACGTCTTGTTCAAGTTCCTAGAATCAACCCACCTGCGCCTGCAACATGGCTTGATCCCAGAGGTCGCAATCGCGTACCCGATACCCGTACCCTACCCGATACCCGGCTACCCGTACCCGGCCGGGTATCGGGTACGGGTACCTGGTGCGGCCGGGTACGGGTAAGGAATCAAAACCCGTTTGCGACCTCTGCTGAGGGGACGTCGAAAACCACCAACATGTTCCATTCATTGGCTACCACATTCAGATAAGCCCCTCCCCTCCCCTTAACTTGTATATAAGAGCTTGTCTCTTGGAATTTTGCCTCACTTGATACAATAAATTTAGCTGTGACGGTCCCATCTGATGACGGAGACTTGTGTTGCCTCCGAAACGTCGTGATTTATTATTTAAATTTATATTATTATTTCTATTATTTTTATTATGTATTTTTTACCTACGTGACTTTACCAAAAAAACCCTAAGAGTATGAGTATCGCCTGCTGTGTTTACTCCGAGGGGCAGACGCGTGTCGAGTCTTCACTCTCTGTGCATGTAACTCGGGAGTGAGTGAGTGAGCGAGCGAGCGATTTGTCCTGTGGTTGTTGTTGTTGGTAGTGGTGTTGTTGTTGGTGTTGTTGTTGGTGGTGTTGTTGGTGTTGTTGTTGTTGGTGGTGTTGTTGGTGGTGTTGTTGTTGTTGGTGATGGAGGAGGAGGAGACCATCGACCCGTGATGTTCGCGCTCCAGGCCGTGCCGCTCCACGCCGCTGACCCGGCAGTGGCGGCGGCGTGGACGTGGAGCGAGCCCCAGGCCCTCTTCTTCTGGAGCCTCCTCTTCGTCAACCTCTTCGTGTTCTACTACGCGCTCTTCTTCCTCGAGTGCCTGTGCCTCAACATCGGCATGGACGCCTTCTTCCCCCCCACAGACGCGCACGACGCGCTGCTCGCCCTGGGAGTCGATCTCGCCCCGGACTTCGACCTCGACTTTCTCGACTCCGACCACCTCCTCCAGTGAAGTGCCGGTGTCGTGGGGAAGGTGGTCCACGTCTCGCTCCCCGTGGGAGCTTCGACCATGGCTGCTCGAGCCGTGCTGATGAAGCTGCAAACGCCGAGGCCGAGACTTCTCCACCGGCCATCGACCGGTTGGAGGCGGTGCGCTCGGCCTTGCCCCGCCGGACTTGGGTGGGGGATTCCCGGCAGGGCGGCTAGGCAAGACCGAGGCTTCTCGGCGAGCTGCGGGGCCGTGGTGGACCTGCGCAGCGACACCGTCACGCGGCCCTGCGCAGCGATGAGGCAGGCGATGGCCGAGGCCAGGGTCGGGGACGATGTCTACGGCGAGGATCCCACGGTGAACGGTGAGGGGGGACGGTGAGGGGGGACGGTGAGGGGGGACGGGCGGGCACACAGAGTGGGACCACGAGGGGTCCGGGGCCCTAGGGGGGAGCTTCGGGGACGGGGGCCTCCATGGCGGGGAGGGGGGTCCCTGGGGAAAACTTTGGATGTCGTGGTGGAGTTTGATGTACACGCGCGTGTGTGTTGTTTATTGTGTGTTGTTTATTGTGTGTTGTTGTGTGTGTTGTTTATTGTGCGTGTGTGTGTTTATTGTGTGTGTGTTGTTTAGCGTGTGTGTGTGTTGTTTGTTGTGTGTGTTTATTGTGTGTTGTGTGTGTTGTGTGTGTGTTGTTTATTGTGTGTGTGTGTTGTTTATTGTGTGTCCAGCTATCACATGAAAACAACAACAATGCGTTAATCTGACACGCCAAACTCGTACTTGACGATTGCATCTCGACAAGTGCTGTTTGTCGCTGACCGTTGGGCCTGTGTTTGGAAAACTGTAAAACAATGACACTGTTAAATCACTTCAGCGCTGCTAAGTAATGCTTGGGTGGCAGTGGCGTCGTGGCAGTAAAATGTGTGTCGTACACCCTCCACCACCCGACACAGTTCGTGAATGTAAGAGCAGGTGTTACCCTTTCTGGCAATAAAACAGATGTCAGGATGTTCAAACGTCAAACGGAAACATTTTGCATTAAGCACACGTTCTTGTGGTGAACCATCATACTAATATAATGTGCGCTGAGACCAGCAAATCACTACACTCCAGAACCCGGTTTATTCGAATTTTACGTCGTTTTAACGGCAATAATATAGTTAAACAAGACAGACACATTCATGACAGGGAGTAGAGCAATAAAAATAAGAATAGGTTTTACCCTTTTTGGCAATAAAACAGGCGTTAAGATGTTCAAACACCAAGTACGTTAAGCACACGTACTTGGTGGTGAACATTCAAACAAACGTGATCTGATATAATATTCATTGTATTTGAAACTGATTGGTCTACACCAGAGGCAGCCTTTTTAAATCCTTTATATTAAGTTCACTTGCTTGCTTACGACCGTGCAAATCTTTCGGTCGTATTTAACCCACTTCCCGTGATCCAATCGAGCTGACATTTTGCACACAGACTCGTTGTGCGAGACAATTAATGTTCGTGAAAAGAAATTTCCAAAATTTTACACTGTTTAGGGAAAAAAATATATTTAATTACCAATTGCTTAATGGTGGCAGACAATCATCTGACCCATAGGTGGCAGCCATCTCAAGCCAGAGTACGAGAGGACTCTAGCCGCCACGCATATAAAGGATTTATAGTGAAAAACTTAGTTTTTACGGGTTAATTTTTTTAGGGCCTAGTCTCAACCAGTGTTAGACCAGAGAACGCCAAAAGGCGAACAGGACAAGTATCAGAGCATTTATAAGCTCGGGGTGAGCAACTACAAAATGGTTATATGCAGACATGATTCCTCGCAAAAGGTTTATGTTTGGTGTTTGAAACATCTAAACACCTGTTTTATTGCCAGAAAGGGTAACACCGATTATTATACTTTGATACTGGCACGAATTGTCCCATGTTCCAGTTCATGAAGTTGCCTCGTGAATAACAAACGTGGCAAGTTTATTATTACCGCTTCAGCAGTAACAACGGGTGTTGTGTTGCTGGAGCACCAGGCAGTTGTTGCCAGCGACGTTTTGAAGGCACAATGTGTGTGTGCTGTGTCGCGACGTTCATGCGAACGTGGGACGTGGATGTTTTGTCATTGTGAGGTTGATGTGAATGTGTGGGTGGTTGTTATTAATGGATTGTTATGTCTGGACTGAATGAAATATGGGTGGTTTTATTGGGTGTTGAGTGGGAAGTGAAGAGAAACGTGGGTGGATTCTTATAATGGATGTTTTTGGGGTTACCAGAAATGTTGATTGAGGGAAGTGGTTTTTTTTCAGTTGAGTTAAATCAGGGTTGAGAAACCTTTTCCGTTTGTAACTTTAGGGCCAGAGGCCGAATGTAACTTCTTCATAGTTTTCGCGGAGGACACAAATTCACAGACCTAGGTTCAACTTCCCCCAGTGTTCAAGTGATTAGCACGGTTGGCTACGTACGGCGTGAAAGAAGTTCAACACACATAATGGGATATATATTACTTTTAACATATATTTCACCTCGTCTAGCCTTGTTTGAACTCAGCTGGTCTTGGACACCTCACCTTCAGCTCACTTAGCCTCACCTCTAACTCGCATACCCTGACCCTACCAGGCCTACCCCCACCTGAGCCCACCCTGAGCCACCCTGCCGCTGCTTGCCGCTCAACTGCACTAATAACCAGGGCAGCCTGTAGGATTCGAATCAACTTCCGTAACAAGCGGTGGACACGCTCCGCTGGGCCATGTCACTGACACTCCATGGTTAGATACTAAGTTTTGGCTGCCACACATTATCCCTGTGAACGCCTGCCTTCCTCCCTCCACACAGAGCTGCAGGGACTGGTGGCCGAGCTGCTGGGGATGGAAGCCGCCCTCTTTGTGCCGTCCGGAACCATGGGAAACCTCATCGCCGGTGAGGGTGGCCCACGTGTCGAGAAGGGGCGGGGGGGGGGGTGCACAGTCGTGAGACCGAGACTCCCGTCCCCGCAGATGTGTGATAGGAAAATCGGTCATGAATACGAGTGTCACTGACCCGATCCCCCAAGACCTGATTGCCGAGTCGATGCGTCGCCCGCTGTGCCATCCGCTGTGCCATCCGCTGTGCCACCCGCTGTGCCACCAGTCATGTGCCACTGCCCGGAGCGAGGGGACGAGATGCTGCTTGGAGACAGGGCCCACATTCACCTCTACGAGCAGGGAGCCAGCGCCCAGGTGAGCGCACAGCAGGATGACCAACACAGGGTGAATAAGTTGGGAAACATTTTAACTTGGGCAATTGCCATAGTATTTATATTTAACGATAATTAAGATATTATGAATTGTATTGTTTAAAATTTGGGTTTACACTTAACTTGGCAACATTTAGTGTGGGAAAATACAAGTTCCTTCGTGTGGATAAAAACATCACTTGGAAGGGATCTCAGAAGTAGTTTTGTGATATTCCTTTCTCAGGTTGTGCAATAACAAAGGGTGCTTCATTCCCACATTCCTCTGGCAGGGGAAAGTCTATCCATAGTACATCCAACTGTTGGCTTCCCACAATATGGGACTTATTTTTTCGACCTTGGAGGGATGATGGGCTGAGTCAACCCCAAAGCCAGGATTGGAACTTGCAACCTTCCGATTGCGAGCCGCTCGCTCTGCCGCTGAACCACCTGGCTGTTCGAGTAAATCAAGGGCGTTGTAATCACCCCATTGGGATTATACACAGCAGCAGCCATCGCCCCCTACTGGCAGACTAATACCCATATGCAGGCCAGGTTCTGAGTCGCCTTGTGCCACTCAGGGACAGCTTCCATTGGAGGTGCCCTTTCAAATGTTTCAGTTGGGAGGTGATGTAAAGCGTTCTAAGACGCCCTGGCGAATAGGAGGGCGCTGCCTCAAAAAATCAAATCATAATTATTCCTATTGTAATAAAGGTCGTGGAAGCGACTTCTGGAATCCGGTCTTTATTTGTCTTTCGTTCACAACACTCCTGTCTTACTCCTTCACGCTGCTAATAGACAGCGTGAGAGGGAGAGAGAGAGACACGCGCGGCCACGTGGCAGCCTGGACCCCGCTCCAGCGTGGCCTCACCCTCCGTTCGTTCCAGATCTGACCACGTGTTGTCCGTCTCCACCCCTTTTAATTCCCGGGTCATGTGGTACCTTTCCACCAATCCTGGTTAACCTCCATGGAATCTTCTAGACTCCATCGTACGTTTTTAGGACCGCGCCCTTGACTCGTCCCCCCATTGTCCTCTACATACAGATGTCACCTTCCCATTACGTCAGGGCCACGCCCCTAGATTTCCCCCCATTAGCTATGGGCCAGGACCGGTAGAGCCAATCATCGTAACGAGGTGTGATCCATCAACGACCCGGATATATGCTCACATTACACTACGATACTTCAATATAAATGATTGGGAAGAGGGCGCCAGCGATGCGAAGTGCGTGCGGGTGTTGTTGGTGCGCAGCTGGGCGGGGTGCACGCGCGCACGCTGGCCACGCGGCCCGACGGCACCTTTGACTTGGCCGAGCTGCGGAGCAAGGTGCGGCACGAGCACCCGGACGCGCACGTGCCGCGCTCACGGCTCCTGTGCCTCGAGTCGTCCCACAACGCGTGCGGAGGACGAGCCCTCCCTGTGGGTTTCCTGCGCGAGGTACGCATCGCACCGGTTGCCCTTCTGGGAGTATTTGGCAGTGGTTCGAGTAAGCCCGCCTCAGCGACTAAGGCACTGCTTACTTAATTTGGAGCTTTCGTGACTGCAGGAATTACTCTTTGGTTTCTTTCGGTAAAGTGACGTATAAAGAGAAAAATAATAAGTGAAATACTAGCATACGACGTTTCGATTGCAACACAAGCAATCATCATCAGGTATAAATGAAATAGAAACACAAATCTGGTATACTTAGAAATGTAATGTAATACAACAGAGAGTCGGATAACATAACAGTCAACACCCTACCTGGTTGATTACATTCTTCCGGAGAATGCTAAGTTTGAGAGAGAGATAAAACACAGAACCAGAGACATATAGACAGACAAATAAGTAGAGACAGATATCACAGAGATACATAGAGAGAGAGAGACGTACATCGGCACACAGAGAAACCACGCCTCTGTGTCGAGGCCTTACCAAAATAACCAAAGAGTAAGGCACTGCTTGTCGAAACCAGTCGGGAGTCTGCGTGTGCCACGCGTGGGCCCGTGCAGGTGCGGTCCCTGGCAGATGAGCTCGGGCTCCGGGTTCACATGGACGGAGCGAGGCTGCTGAATGCCGCCGTGGCGCTGTCGGTGCCCCCCGCCGCCATCGCTGGGCACTGCCACTCGGTCAGCCTGTGTCTCTCCAAGGTGCGTCAACCCCCCGTGCCCCCCTCCACCAACGGAGGGGCACGGCACACGCGTTTCTCTATTTGTTGGTACCCTCGCATGCACGGGGTGAGATCTCCTGCTCAAATGGGCATTGAGGTTGAGTTCAACTCCTGTTTACGGATTTTGAGCCAGTGGCGGGTGCAAGTATATCCATAAGACAGCCACTTTTAACTTCCCCACTAAGTGGTACTCATGTTGTTGACCCCAGACAGATGGGCACAAATTTAAAATAATATGAAATTAAATACATCACCAAGTGGTCACTCGACCACTTGGTCGGAGAGATGACCCAGGCGGTGTCTTCCTCTCTCTCGTTGTCTCTCTCACTCCCCCCTCTCTCTCACTCACTCCCCCTTTCTCTCACTCCCCCCTCTCTCTCACTCCCCCCTCTCACTCATTCCCCCCTCCCACTCACTCCCCCTTTCTCTCACTCTCTCACTCCCACCTCTCACTCACTCCCCCTTTCTCTCACTCCCCCCTCTCACTCACTCCCCCCTCTCACTCCCCCTTTCTCTCACTCTCTCACTCCCCTCTCTCTCTCACTCCCCCATCTCACTCACTCCCCCTTTCTCTCCCTCGCTCTCTCACTCTCCATTCCTCTCTCGCTCTCTCCCTCTCTTTCTATCCCCTTCCCTCTCTCCCTCCCTCTTTCCCTCCACCTGTGCAGGGCCTGGGTGCCCCAGTGGGCTCGGTGCTGGCGGGCTCATGCGAGTTGGTGGCACGGGCGCGACGCCTGCGCAAGGCACTGGGCGGGGGCATGCGGCAGGCCGGGGTGGTGGCGGCCGCGGGGATTGTGGCGCTCGACGGCTACGAGGAGACACTGCTCGCCGACCACCGCCACGCCAAGATGTTCGCGCACGGTACGAGCGCTCTCCGCATGCTCACCGCACGCTCACCACACCGGGTCTCGCCTAGAGGTGAGCGTGCGGCTCAGGGTGCAGAGATACTGAGCCGGCTGCACTGACGTTCAGGTTTCAGCCGCCTGGGATTAAATGGGGTTCTCAAGCCCAGTGAGGTCATAGTGTAAGCCCGTTTGCCAAGGGACTTGGTCCCGTAGACTTACATAGAGAACCATAGACTCGTGTGAAGACGCACAGAGTTGGTGAGCCGCCCACGTCTGGGGCCGACGATGACACCGCCGGTCTCTCCTGACAGCCGTGGCGGAGCACGGCGCTGCTCTGTGCACGGCGTGGCCCGACAAGGTGGACACCAACATCGTCATGGTGACGGTGACGGATCCCCGCGTCACGCCCGAGATGCTGCGCCAGCAGCTGCTGGCAGGACACGCAGGCGGCAGCGGCACCGAGGAAGCGGACGCGGCCGTGCTGGTGGGCGTGTGGAGCGAGCGGGAGCTGCGGGCCGTGTTTCACCGCGACGTGTCGCACGCCGACACGCTGCTCGCCGCACACCGCTTCCGACTCGCCGCCGATAGCCTGCGCGCCGAGCTGGGATGCTGAGCCCCCCCCACCCCCCATTGTGAAAGTGGTTGGGGCTCGGTGTCCTGGCACCTGGGGTTCCACCACGCCCAGTGCGTGTCGCCCCCGTGTGAGTAGGTGCTGCTAATTTCGTCAAGCGTTGTGATTATGCCTTGACTTGGAGCATTATGGATAGTGAAATTAATAATTTAATACACTTGCCTCTGATTTTATACAGTGTTATTATTTGCGATGGACAGGGTCCCATCGTGTAGATGGAGTGCTCATGCCGATAACATCTGGAAACCCGGCAGCATTTTGTTTAGAGAATCTCAGTCTGCCGATGAGACCAATAAGCGCATGCTGCTGTTCAGCTTCTGTTTGGAAGTTTGGTCGGCTGATGGACTAAAAACTACTTGATTTTCACGTGGAGAGACAAGTCCATTTTAGTATTAAAAATTTGCTTTTGCTTGCTGTGGCATAGACGGGGATGGCCACGCAAATTGGTCACAGTTTCTGCTTGTGCCGTGCACACGGCTGGCAGCTGCGTGCCCATGGTGAGTGGTCAGTAGCACGGCACGCATGCGTCACTGCATACGTGCACCGTGCGTCACGGCACGCGAGTCGTCCCCCAATTGAGACTGGCTGTTGCAATTCAGGTTTGTTAAATAATGCTGTCTTCCCCCATCCGGTTTTTCTGTCATTTAAAGCATTGTTACGGGCCTATGTTATTTAATAAAATCGCAAAAATATATATATTGCTGTGTTGAACTGGTTGCTCTTGAGATGCGTGGCTAGGCTTTTGCCAAATAAAGGCCTGAGTTTGTTCCTGCGTGTTTTGATGCCAAAATTCTTCGTGTTTTACGTGCACGGTCTACTGGGCATCTGTGAAAAAGCGCATCATAGCTCATCGGTTACCTCCAGCCTAAATATTCTGATAAAGATTCTCAGGTTGTTGCACGACAGCCGGGAGCCTGGTAACCATTTTCCCAAATCGACTGCCGTTTCCAGCAGAAGTTTAGCCGTGAATGCGCCGATTGTGTCTCCGCATGGTTACATCTGCCCGAGTTTGTCAGCTAAAAGCTGAAGGAGCAGCCCTGTAATCGCTCGCAAATCAACTGGCGGAATGGACCTCCCACCAGAGGGAGCTCTCGGGCGCATTTGTCGACTCGTCCACACTGCCCATACGTTTTGGAAGATAACGGGTGTACCCATATTTTACTCCACTGATACATTTACACTGCTGGGTGGCTAGAGGTGGAGAAATGAAATAAACTCGATACATTTTGTTACTGGTAGGAACCACCTGGTTCCACCAGCCCACGGGATTATTGTGTCCGTCCGTCCGTCGTGCATCCAAAAATGGGAGGGGTCGGGCTGGGTGGGGAGGGGCTGGGTGGGGAGGGGCTGGGAGGGGTGGGGCTGGGTGGGGAGGGCTGGGGCTGGGTGGGGAGGGGTGGGGATGGGCTGGTCACCCCGTGGTGCCCTTATAAAACTCAACGTTTAACCTACTCACGCCGGCTTGTGCCCGCCCTCACAGTCGGCCATATTTGCGGAATACACCACGCCGCCGTTGACCCTGGCCATTGACCGAGCAACCCAACGTTACTACCAGCTCCCTCCGCAGGAATGTGTTTAAACCACGGTGCCAGGTGAAGGAATTGAATTGACATCTGGATTGCAAGGGCAGCGTGCTGGTAACTATTCGACCGCCGCAGCAGCTGCCTTAATTTCTCAACAAATAAGGTTAATGTGTGTCGTGTAATTGCTGGACGTCTGTGTGTTTGCGGCAAACCGGCAAGCGATCTTTACTGATTAATTTCGTCTGGTTCCTTGTAACACCTGATCATCAATGAGCGCACAAATAAAAGCATGGTTACATTCTATTCTGCACTTAGCTTGGCTCAAATCCAGCTCTGAGACAACTTCTCACGCGACGAACATATGGACCCAGGGGTTACTGAAACGGATCTCGCAGGTAGTTCTGTGATGTCCGCTTAAGTGGAAGTGTTCTCTCGCACAGAGAGTTGCTCCGCTCATTGTGAGATACACGCGGATTTTGTCATCTGTCACCGAGAGCAGTCGGGATGAACTTGGGGAGGGAAACTACTTGTTTTTTTCTAAAATAAGTGAACAGGACACTCAGTCCTCGTATCGCGTGTGATGTAACCATCATGCATTATTCAAAACATTCACACCGCACCTCAACGCCTGCTGGCCTGGATGTACAGGAGGTGCGAGTTTGAATTACAATGTGGATACAAGTGGCTCGAATGAGAAATCAAGTAATCGCCAGATCTCTTACGAGCGCTGCCTTTTAACTAAAATAAGTATTTTAATAGACATGTTTCGGGTTCTTATGGTCCTTCCCAAGCAGCTGGAGTCATCAATAGCGACGGTCTATCCACTGCTTATTAACGGCCTCTCCATTATCATCCGCTACAGCTATTTTGCTGTGCCCTTTTTTACACCTGATGAAGGAAGCTTGTGTTGCCTCCGAAACATCGTGATTTAATTGATTTATTTTCATTTATTATATTTTTATTTTTTACCTACGTGACTTTACCGAAAAAACCTAAGAGTATGAATCCTTGCAGTCATGAAAGCTTCAAATCTAGAATCATCAGCTATGGTCTATCAACTGCTGGATGAAGGCATCCAGATTATGAGCCATGCGCCATCCACTGTTGGATGAAGGCCAAGGGGTTTTTGCCAAAAATATGCAACTCTGCGGGTTTGTGTACCACGAAGGCAGCACATTAAAATAAAATAAAACCCCTGAGCATTTCTCCTGAACACTGGAACTACAACAACAACAACAGCCGTTCACCACTAAGTGGCGGTGACGTCATTACGGCGCTTGTGCCATGCTAGGTGCACTTTGAGGCAAAGTGAAGTGTGGAAGGCCTGCTGGCAGGAGGTCGTGGAACAGACCCAGGTGCCATGGGGTGACTTCACACACACCAGAGGTCGCAACCGGGTACCCGTACCCTACCCGATACCTGGCTACCCGTACCCGGCTGGATACGGGTACGGGTAGCCGTTTGCGACCCTGGTGCGGCTGGGTACGGGTAGGCCGTGAGTCACTGGTGAGTAACCGTTTGTCACTCATTTCGGGTAGGGTACGGGTACGGGTAGGGAACGGGTACCCGTATCTGGCTGGGTACGAGTATCCATTTGCGACCCTGGTGCGGCCGGGTACGGGTACGGGTAAGGAATCAAAACCCGTTTGAGACCTCTGACACACACCCAACCAATTCGCATCAAGGGTACAGCCCTTCAACTGCTTTCTGACGCCACTGCTAGCTAAGCCTCGAGGGCATTCAGCCGATTCATCCACCAGACGCTTTGAAAGACGTGACCCATTATAATTGCATCCATCCACACGCGACACTGCCCATCCGACAATGGGGTCGTCCATAAATGACGTCACGCACCTGGGGGGGGGGGAGGTCAGACATTTGTGACGATGTGTGACTTTAAATAAATATAGACAACACGTTCTACTTAATTAAATATACTTTTTAATAAATGTTTTCTCCTACAGCATCAGAGTGCAGCACCAGATTAAATACGCACTACAATGACAATAGTGTAAAGCGATTTGAAGCATGTTTTATGGTTTGGGGGGGGGGGCGGGCTTTGTGACGTCTTATTTGAGGGGGGGTCTGACTTTTTGTGACGCCGTGTGACGAGGGGGGGTCAAAAATCGTCTAAAATCACGTTACGTCATTTATCGACGGCCCCTATGGCGGTGAACCCAATTGTACTGCCGGTTGGACAGAGGCGGCGGGTTTCGGGAATCGGAATATTGCTCCAGTGTTCCACATCCACGCCGGGATGTGGAATCGAACCGGCGCACTGTGCATTGCGCGCTCGGCGCGCGAACAATTGCACCACCGCTCGGATGCAGGCAGACTCGGCGACTCCTCTCGGCCTCGGCAAGGCAAGGTAATTTACCCTTTTTACCGGGTAAAGTGTAAAGGTGCCGGCATGTCAAGGGGTAAGGTAAAGGGTCGGGTAAAGGTAGTGTGGAAGAATTACCCGGCAAATGCCTTGCTTACCGCTCGCTAAAAGCTCCGTGGCGCAGTCCGCGGCCTCCATTTAAAATTGGAATCATCGAGAGTATTCGATATGAATAAAGCGCTCTTCCTAGCATTTACCTGTTATAAACCTTTTTCATGTGTAGTAGTACCCCAGTAATTACCCTGTAATCGGGTAATTTGTATGGAGTAAGGGTAAAAGGTAGGGTAAAGGTAGGCTAGTTTTTTTATCTTTTACTTGACCTTGCCTAGGCCTCGTCACTCCTGTCCACGCGGTGACGTCGCCACGCGCACCTCCAGCCTTGTGACGTCACACGCAGCTCCTCCCCCCCCACCCCGCAGTGATGTCACGCGCGCAGAGACAACCCCCACACACACACCCCATCGCACGCGCCGCGTGACGTCACGCGCAGTCCCAAGCGCCGCGTGACGTCACGCTCCCGACAACCATGGCCACCGGCGGCAGCAGCTAGGAGGAGAAGGCTCAGGGTGAACGTTTCAATCCGCCGCATCCGCCGCGTTCGCGCGCCTCAGCCGCCAACATTTCGAGCGGAACATATCCCGCACAAGTCCCCGCGCTCGCCGGCGCCAATATTTCTGCGATCCCGCGCAAGACGTGAGTAGGGTCGCGGTTGAAAGGCTCGACTTCGCGCGGGGCGTTCTGTTGCTCGGGTGGGTACGTTTGTTGACATTAAGCCACCATTGTCCCCGCAGCTCGGCGAGCGCCACGGCGACCCGGCCTCGCACCATGGAGTTGCGCATCGGCAATAAGTACCGGCTGGGCCGCAAAATCGGCAGCGGCTCCTTCGGCGACATCTACCTGGGTGAGTTTCCCCGAGTGCCCCGGCCTGCCTCGCCTCTGCCGGTGTATGAGGTCCCTTGGTCGGTAGCCCGGCTAGGAAAGTAGCTTGTGCGCGCAGGCTGATCGTGCGCTACTAGGCCGCGGCGCTACTCTCGGTATCGCGGTAAGCCGTAGCCCTTTGGGCGGCTTCGCTGCGATCCGCAGGGCGGGAGAGACCCCACGCGTTCGTGGGACCCCACAGCTCCAGGGGAGGGGAGAGAGGAGGGGAGGGAGATTGCCTTCTTGCTTCGAGGTAACTCGAGTCGGGATGGTCCGGACCTGGGCACCGCCCTGTGAACGTGGAATGCGGGTCATCTGGCGCGGATGACTCGACGCCCGAGCGGGCAAGGCCAGGCTTGGGCAGGACAAAAGGAGGGCAAGTTTGGGCAGGGCTCTAAGATAGCAATCGCAGGATAAGCCGCCGGGGCAAGGCTTTGTTGATCAGGGAAAGAAAGGCTGGTGGCATGTTAAGAGACAGCAGGAACGGGTATAGGGCAGGGCAGACGGGCCATGCCCCCCCCCTGGCAGCTGGCGGCTGGTCGCGCTGAGTGACAGCAGCAGGAGTCACACCGCCTGGCTCGGGCCCAACAGGCGAACGGGGAGACGGGGCCGACCACCCGCCCTCCCTCCCGTCCGTGTTACTTCGCAAAACCCGTGCCCTTCGCTTGCCGACGGCTCGGTCAGTCGTCCCCAGATGCCCCTTATTGGAGTTGGGAACCCCCAGGGACCCTAACAGCAACTCGATGAGTTTCAGCTTGGGTCGATACTCTTTTACCACTTGCACTTCGTGTGTCCATGGGCTACCTGGTTGGCAGCAGAGAGGGCAGTGCAGTAAAAATATTGCTTTTTTTTATTCTGTGATTTTCCTTCTTGATCGTGACTAGCGTGGTGCGATGTGGTCGTATGGAACCCATCGACCCGCTGGGTGGGGAGCAGTCCTCATTCAAGAGTGAATTGACAAATTTGCTCTCCTTAAACATGTTTACCCAGATAAGGTCTTGCTAAACTGACACTCAAGGATATCTTCATGTGTGGCATCTGAATCGTAAACACGTTCAAAACTAGAAATCCCATGACTCCCTTGAAAAACAGACTCGGACTCTTGGTGATAAGGGACTTTATAGATTGAGTCGGGGTAGATTGAGTCAGGGTGTAGTCTGTATGTAGGACCACCGTCGACTCTCCACAGCATTAGTAAATACAGATTTTTGGCTCGTAACCTTCCAATTGTGACTCATTGCCGCGTTTAGAACGTTTGGGAAGTACCCGGGAAATGGCAGTCCGACAATTAATTCTTAAATCTCTCTGTGCGGAGCTTTGAGTATTAACCCATAGTACGCATGGTCGGTGTGCTCCGGTTTCCTCCGACATTAATCAAAATTCTTTTTTCTCATGCCATTGGCCAAACATCCCAATGTATAAATACCCTCCTGAAAGTCCTTTGAGACTCAGTGATGGTATAGGGCTTTGTTATTGGGGCCTCATTGTGCGGTAGTTAGCACGCTGAGTTATGAACCCAGCCACAGCTAATACGAGTGGCAAGTGATATCTGAACTGGCCCTGTCACCCCTCTTACCAAGCCATCACTGAATAGTGTGGTGAAGTATAGTAACAAAAAAAAACCTTGACCATTGTTGGGTTAAGAATGGGTGGAATGTCTTAAATATATCTAAAAAATATATAATTAGCATCATCAGCTTTTCGTTCAATGCTTATTTTGGGGTGTAAATAAAGCATCGATGTATTGATTGGCAATGCGTAATCAAGTGCCTGTTGTAGAAATGCATCAGCCCCTCCCCCCGCGCAGAGCATGCGGTGATGTTACAGCACAGCAGTGATGGAGAGCCTTGTACAACAGGCATAGCGGCGTCACCCACTGGCAGCAGCAGCACACGGCACTGGACTGTATTCCAGTGTTCCGGTGACCACCAACCCTGCCGCCCCACCCGCCAGGCGTTCCTTGGAGAGAGGAAGTCTGCAGCCCCAGCCCCATCTCTTTGTTTCTGTCTCCTTGGCGTCGCCGTGTGTTCAGTTCAGCAATAACAACAACAAATGTCCCATAGCGAGTAAGATAATCGGGCCGAGCTGCGAGTGAGTGAGCGAGTGTGTGTGTGTGTGAAGCGACAGCCTCGGGGCGGTGGAGGAATGTGAGCCCTGACTTGTGAAGGACGGCGAGGGCTGCGATGTTTTTACAAGTACCCCCAACCCCCTCCCAACCTCATACCTCCTCCACCGAGTGCATCTGTCCCCAAAGATGTTTTTTTTTATGAACACAGTTGCTGAGCCAAGGTCCAGTACATCGAGCGGCAGTGATCAACAATGGCTCAAAGTTGCAATCGATAAGAGTTCACATTTTTTTGAATTGAGCAAGATTATAAAAGCTTGGAAATGAGACAATGGGACAGTATTCCAAAGTGGAGCTGTGCAAGGCAAGAAGCAGAAGGAAAATTGAGGTGTCATGCATGTTGTGTGGTGAGTGGGTGAGTCAGTGTTGTGGTAATAGCTAGTGTAGTGGTTTTAGCGCTCTGCGCTACGAACCTGGCGAACCGAGTTCCATTCTCGCTCAGGGCCAACACCGGTGACAATTATCTAAACCATTCTTTGGCCTGCCCTATGTCAACTCAGCCTCAAATGAGTACCTAGTGCGTTGTTTGAACATTGCCACTATGGAGACAAAGGCGGTTGGGCGTGTGTGCCGTACAGGCCTTCATAGGTGTTTGCTCATAGCACTTGTCCCAATAGTCTGTTAAGGCTGTATGGGGATTTATTTTTATTTTTGTGACCTGTAGTGTGGTGGTTGAAGGCTGGATGATGAGATGAAACTGTCTGTCTAGTAGCCCGAGTCCTCAATATGGGTGGATGAATCTGTGAGTGAAGTTCACGTGAACAGGAACCATGGTAGTAGCGGAATAATAGTTATAAGGAGGCAACTCGCCATTGTTAAGTGGGCGACTGGATTGAAGGGGGTGCTCGCTTTTGTACTGCTAAGTTAAAGTTTTGTTGTTTTGGAATGAACGGAAGGTTTTTGACAGAATAAAAAAGGGATAAAATCTCGTTGCGAAACCTTAGGTTTGTAAGGCCATTCTCTTGTACAGTCGTTCAAACCATTGGGTTTTTTATTGTAGCTTTACAGTTGAGCTGTAAGGCTCTAGCTTTTGCAGATCCCGCAAGTTAGTAAACACTTATCCGGTGTTTGAAATAACTCGTGACTTAAAGGTGATGTTGCATTGTATACCCGGAAAGCACACGTTCCCCACGTAAGTGTCAAAGTCCTCTTCATCAACTAGGTCAATCCACTGCTGGGTGAAGTCCTCTCCGACCCACTGCTGCCTGCACATCTCACAATCCTGCAATACAACAATCCATCCAGAACCTGCACGCAAACCGATCACGTTCCATCTCCTCAGGATGTCCTCTTGGACGTGTTCTATTCCTATTCTACACCATCGTCCTTGGTCACTTCTAGCCGTGGTGTCTCCTGCTTAAGCCCACTTTTCCTAATGGATTGGATGAGGTCAAAGTTGGAGGGGATATTACCCAAGAACCCCACTCTTATCTGGAGCGTTTGGAGTGAAACACTGTTACACGTACGGTGAGTGTTTTCAAACAATCCTTGGCCTTATGCCCCACTTCCCTAGGGACCTGAGTTAGATCCCAGCCGTCACTAGCAAGTGACATATCTTAGCGGATCCTAGTGCCCCCACCTTCGCCAATCTGCACTGACCAGCTTGGTGAAGTGTTGTCAAGCAATGCCGTAGATGGGCACGTTGTGGGGAGGCCTTCCTCTAGCAGTGGATTGATTAAAGGGTTTCATAGAGATAATCTGTAGGCAGAGCAGAATGGGAACACGAGGGTGGTGACTGGAGGGATCTCGTTAGCGCGGGGGGGGGGGGGGGGCAGGAGGGATTTCCACACACTCCACTCGTCTCTTATGACCTGCCCACTCAGGCTTGTGCTTATTGGTTGTGGTCATGTAGGTGGTGGCAGTTATTGAAGCGGTGGGGATTCTGGTGGTGATGGTGGTTGTGGTGGTAGTGATGATGGTTGTGGGTGTGATGGTGTTAGCAGTTGTGGTTTTTTTATACGCATAGTTCTTTCGGTAAAGTCACGTAGGTAAAAAATGAAAATAAAATTAATAAAAATAAAACAATAAAAATCACGACGTTTCGTAGTTTGTTGTTCACTTGATGCAGCAAATCTGGCTGACGGTCCCACCTGATGACGGAGACTTGTGTTGCCTCCGAAACGTGATTTTTATTGTTTTATTTTTATTAATTGTAATTTCATTTTTTACCTACGTGACTACTGAAAGAACTAAGAGTATGAATCCTTGCAGTCACCAAAGCTTCAAATCTAGAATTAAGTTGTGCTTTTGTTGTTATTTTCGGTGATCGAAACACTCAACTCCTTTTTTCCTGTGCAGCATGTGGTTGTGCGTTGTATGGCCATGGGCAGGTGCACGGTTCAAGCTCCCTCCATCCCACGCAATCCCTCTCCACCTCTTCACCTTCCAACATGGCACTCCACACGAGGGTTTTTAATTTTATACGCAGTTGCCAAGCATGCGCTGAAGCACCCATAACGTAAAGTGGTAGGCAACAAAAAGGTGCGAGCAAAGTTGTAATAGATAAGTGTAACACCTCTCTTTTGCATTGAGTGAGGTTATAAGAGCTTGTGTAAAGAAATGATGGGGAAGGAAATGCAAAGTAGAGCAGTGGAAAGGAAGAAGCAGAAAGAGAAGTGAGGTGACATGTATTGCAATGGTTGGAACGGCGGTTCCTCTTGCCTTTCTTCCTTGGCAGTGTTTTTTCAGTGACAATCACCGGTTGCGTTTTAATGTGACGCGCTGTTGTGGTTACCACGGGTCGTTAGGCAGCGTCTGGATTACAGAGGTTTTTGCTCATCGCTTGCCCCTCACCCTGGGCCTGGCTACTTAAATCACAGGGGGGCCATTCGTCACGTGAATGGAAATGGCCGAGTCGGGCAGGCGGCTTTGTGAGGCTCATTTTAACAGCGGTCGTGGGAATTGAGCAGCAGAATTACGTAATACTGGGTCGATGGTCCTGGCACGGATTCATTCCCAGTCTCGTCACAAACGCTGACCGCCTCTCCATTTCATATAACGTGGGGTTTGCCGCCAGCATTTTTTTGTATTTCATTTTTGGGTTGGGCCACTTAATGTTCTGGCCAAATAAGACTCTCCTCCACCTGACATAAACTAATTTAAGAAATTAGATGGATCTGATTTATAAATTTGGTTTGCGGGAATTATTCTTGAACTTACCGGTGATTTGAAACAAAAATATTAAGCTTTTGTACACGGGACAGTTTCAAAGTGTTGGGTTTTGGAGGGTCTCACAATAAACATTTGGCCAGATCATGATTTTTCAGTTCACATTTTTAGTTTAAAAAGTGCCATCGACTTTTAATGAATGTTATCAGTGATATTGATCAGATGGGTAAAAATGCACACATCCTTCCAAAATGCACTTATCGCCACTTGTACATATTTTGTGGACTGTCCAATAAATCCATTTACATAACAGTGGTTGGGTTTGGATTTAAAATTAGGAACATTAAATCCATTCCATCCAATCACAGACGCTTAAATATACAATCAGGACGCTACCAAAGAGCGTCAATCACAGCGCACGCCTGCTCCAGTGCAAAAATTGCGGTGTGAGAAATACTAACATTTTCTCAAATTACTTGAACAAAAATAGTACAAACGTGATTTAAATAAGTTGGGGGGGTGTCTTAATAGAATCGCGGGTTGGGTAAAAGTAGTTTGTGCTGCACTCACGAGACCCCCTCTGTGCATGCCTGTACGTGCTCGCATGTGTGCGTGTGCACGCTCGTAAGTGTGTTCTCATGTCCGTGTGTGTGTGCATGCACGTGTGTGTGTAGGCACCAACATCGCGACGGGTGAGGAGGTGGCCATCAAGCTAGAGTGCGTGAAGACCAAGCACCCTCAATTGCACATTGAGAGCAAGATCTACAAGCTGCTGCAGGGCGGGGGTGAGGCTGCCTCACTCATTTGCTTACTCCTCCCTCACTCTCTGGCTGTGTGCGCGTACCAGAGGTCGCAACCGGGTACCCGATACCCGTACCCTACCCGATACCCGGCTACCCGTACCCGGCCGGGTACGGGTACCCGTTTGCGACCCTGGTGCGGCCGGGTACGGGTAGGCCGTGAGTCACTGGTGAGTAACCGTTTGTCACTCATTTCCCAACGTCTTGTCTCTTCTCACAATTCAAGTTCCTAGAATCAACCCACCCGCGCCTGCAACATGGCTTCATCCCAGAGGGCGCAATCAGGTACCCGATACCCGTACCCTACCCGTACCCGGCCGGGTACGGGTAGGGTACGGGTACGGGTAGCGTACGGGTACCCATACCTGGCCGGGTACGGGTACCCGTTTGCGACCCTGGTGCGGCCGGGTATGGGTAAGGAATCAAAACCCGTTTGCGACCTCTGGCGCGTACACATGTTATACCCGTCAACCCATACGGTTTACCAATATTCTTGTACAGGTCCATATCGCATACAGCTGTTTTAATATGGGCATTTTTTTTGTTTGTCTTTGTGTTTTTCCCTTGTGATGGGACATTGTAGGATGAATGTTGAGATTTATAAGGGCACTGGGTGACCAATTTAGGTCTGAATTGGTCTGTAATAAGGTTGGCAATGATAAGGGGTTGACAGGTATGACATGTACACGACCTGTTACGGTTGTGTGATTTAGGGGTCCATTTTCTCGTATTAGATTTTTAGGCCTAAATTTTAATTCCATTTCGTATTTTTTTGCATTTAAACTTGGAAAATGTAATTAACAATGTGTGCTACATTCTTGTCATTGAACGTAAAATAAGTCAAATGGTTAACATAATGTTACATCAGTTTCACAGTAATTTGTAAGCAAATGTGGTATTGCTTAAAAATTATTGCATCATTTCGGCACATGGTGCAACTTGGTAAGAGAAGCACGGAAGTGATGCGTTTGAAATTAAATAACTTCCTGTGCTGTCATTTTCCAATCAGAGCTCGATTTTCTTATTTTTGGATCGATCCCACCAGCTAGGCAGGGGCGGGTCCACGGAGGATGCCCACGGCTCACCGTGGCGAGTGCCATATTGACGTTGATCTGAGGTTGGATTCGGAGCGAGTGGAGGGGTCGATGTATTGGAGTGACGAGGCCTCGATCACGTCTGTGTGCGAGGAGGAGTCTGACGGTGGCATTTGAATAAGCTGTGTGCTGTATCCAGTAACGCCACCTCATACTCTTGCTTGTCCCCTCCTCCCCGTGCAGTCGGCATCCCCGTGATCAAGTGGTGTGGTGCGGAGGGCGACTACAATGTGATGGTGATGGAGCTGCTAGGCCCCAGCATGGAGGACCTCTTCAACTTCTGCTCCCGCAAGTTCAGCCTGAAGACCGTGCTGCTGCTCGCGGACCAGATGGTGAGGGCCCGCGCCGACACTTCACGTGTAACGGATTCACGTGACGGCTACTGTCGGTAGGAATCATGACTCGATTAGCGAATCAAATAGTTGCCCCGCATGAGGAGAATTCATTGAGCGATGGGGGCAGTGGGGCAAGGCGGAAAACTCTTACTGACCAGGCCCAAGCTTGCCCTTTGCCTGGCGTTCGCCGCCGTGAATTTAAAATGCTGGGAATAATTTGGCGAGGCCATCGTTGCTCGATGGGTGACGAGGTTTGTTGGAGCACGACGCGATGGTTCGCTGACGGCACTGGCCTCTCGATTCCCGTCGCGTGCAGATCAGCCGCATCGAGTACCTGCACTCGAAGAACTTCATCCACCGTGACATCAAGCCCGACAACTTCCTTATGGGCCTGGGCAAAAAGGGCAACCTCGTCTACATCATCGACCTGGGCCTGGCGAAGAAGTACCGCGACTCGCGCACCCACCAGCACATCCCCTACCGCGAGAACAAAAACCTGACGGGCACGGCGCGATACGCCTCCATCAACACCCACCTGGGCATCGGTGCGGCACTGCACATCCATCGGCGCCACGTTCGGTTCTGTTTTCTTGTTGCGCACGAAGGCAGCGGCAATGTGTTTGGGTCCCCTGTGTCTGTCAGTGCCAGACCCTTTGTGTTCATTTTGCTTGTCCCCATGCTCAAGTGTCTGTGTGCGCATGCCTGCGCTTTTGCTCCACAGAGCAGAGCCGGCGGGACGATCTGGAGTCCCTGGGCTACGTGCTCATGTACTTCAACCTGGGCTCGCTGCCCTGGCAGGGCCTCAAGGCGGCCACAAAGCGCCAGAAATACGAGCGCATCAGCGAGAAAAAGATGTCGACGCCGATCGAGATGCTCTGCAAGACTTACCCCTGTGAGCGGCCCGCACGCCCCGCACGCCCCGCCTCGCGCGCGCATCTTGCCCACGGCGGCCGCGATTGACGCGCTCCCCCCGCATGGCAATCATCGCCCACCGCTGTCCCTTGTGGGCACCCTGTGACCCTGTGCTGCTCTGTCACCCCCACCGCTCGTAGCCGAGTTTGCGACGTACCTCAACTTCTGCCGCTCACTGCGATTCGACGACAAGCCTGACTACTCGTACCTGCGACAGCTCTTCCGCAACCTGTTCCACCGGCAGGGCTTCTCCTACGACTACGTGTTCGACTGGAACACGCTCAAGTTTGTAAGGACGCCGCACCCCTGAGTGCCCACACCCCCAGGCCAGGTTATATCGCAATGCGCTAACTACTGCGCCACCTCTCTCTCTATGACGCGTCTCCGTGGACTAAGGTGACTTTCGGCGTTAGTATGCTGTATATTCTCCCTCCCCTTGTTCTGCAGAGCTTGATGATCAATTGTGAGTAAGTTTGGAGTTTTTATGTTTAAGGTACACGGATAATTTTTGTTGTACGTTTAGTTACGTTCATTTCCACTTATTTATGGATTGTCTGTGTTTGTACACTAAACTATTTGTTATTTGACCAGGTAAGGCCCACTGAGCTATATAGCCCTTTCTCAGAAGCAACCTGGCACAAATGATAGCTTAACAAAGTGGTGTATCACTCTTAAACGCACGTTGATTGTAAATGTGGAGGGAAAAACTGGAGGACCTGGAGAAAAAGCCACTCGACCACAGGGAGAGCATGCAAACTCCAAATATACAGGCGTCGTGGAGTGGTTTGTGCCCTGCACTACGAACTACCCGAGTTAGATTCCTGCTCAAGGTCAATAACTGGCAAATATTTTAATTGGTCCTTGGTTTCTTCCCTAGGTCATCTCGGCCTTAAATGAGGACCCTGTGTGGTGTGTAAGCAACAGCACCGGGCATGGTGTTGGCCACCCACCCCCTTGACCTGTCGGCCGTCAAAGGCGCTCATCAACAGCACTTGCCCTGACAATATGTGTTAATGCTTTCCGGATGATCTTTGTCATTGTGCTTCAGGGAGGCAGTCGTGCCGGGCAGGAGGAGGCCGGGCGAGAGCGGCGTGAGCGGGAGGAGCGACTCAATGGCACGCACGCCCACGTGCCGACACGCGCGTTGCCCGGCTCGGCCGCTGGCAGAATCCGGCAGGATCACGCCGCCATGCCAGCTCCCCTCTCTCCCACACACCAGCCTCCCGGCAAGCCTCGCACACTCGGCTCACTCGCCCACACTCCTACAGACTCCTCAAACACTCCCATGTCTCCCACACACCAGCCGCCCGGCATTTTCTCCCACTCTCACACACACTACTTGCTCGCCAACACTCCTACAGACTCCTCAAACACTCCCATGTCTGCCACACACTCACACACTCTATTCACAAATACTCCTGCTAGCTATCGCTCTTCTCTGACTTGAACAGCACTCGCTAACACTCGTATGACACTACTCTCTAACGTTTACATTTCCAGAGCACAGCTTTCAATAATTCTTGTCTCTCACTGCGTCCTCCACAGGTGCTTGTATGCGCTCACCTGTGCACGTGTGTATGTGTGTACATGTGTCCTAATGCGCGTGTGCGCGCGCGCGTGTGTGTGTAGGGGTGGTGGGTACCCGTCCATCCGTGCGCCCCGAGCAGGACCGCAAGGTGAGCATGCGTCTGCACCGCGCCGCGCCCGTCAACCGCTCCTCCTCCGACCTGACGGGCGGGCAGGAGCCCCTCCCCCGCGTCGCCTCCAAGGCAAGGCCTCCCCCCATACACAAATCCACATGACCCTGAGCTGTATCCATGGTCCTCTTAACCCTACTCCTCTTACATAGTTCCACCTCGACACCCCCCCCCACCCCTGTGAATGTGGAGAGAGAGAAACTGTCTGGCTCTGGTGGCCACATCTCCTCCTCACTCCTACCCCTCCTCCTCGTCCCTGCTCCTCGCCCCTACCCCTCCTCGCTCCCCCCTCCTCCTCGCTTCTCGCTCCACCGTCCTCTATGAAGGAGTGCGTTGCTGAAAATGGAGACTTGTGATTCTGCACCGGCGGAGATGGAGATTGTCGATGGGTATCGTGGCGTGCGGGGAGATTGATGGTGGTGAGCGAGTGAAGAAACGCCGTGGTGCGCGTGCGTGCTCATGTGTGCGTTGTGCGTGCGTGCGCGTAAGGGAATTGACGGTGCTGTCTCTCCCTGTCACTGCGCTGGCCTCTCGTCGGGATAGTACTGTAGCTCACTGCCGCCTGCCACTGAGCGACTGCGCCACTATGCCAAACGGACACGCGTTGGCGCGTTCATGACGGTAACTCACCCCGGCCAGCGGCCTCCGCCCTCGCCGAACAAACCCCTCTCCAGAACAACGCCCCTCGCCCCAAATAACACCGGCCGGGCCCTTCCCCTCAAGTGGTGGCAGTTTTGTTAACGAAATGGATAAAGTCTGAGGGTTAAAAGTGGTGGCCCGCTCAAATGAGTGTTGAGGCAGTGGTCATCTTCTTTGAGCCAGTGGTGGAAATTCACTTGACCTTTGGCAGGGGCGAGTCTCTCTCCCTAGGATGACCGCTGTTGATCTCCCCACAAAGTGGTATTAATTTTATTGACCCCGGAAGGATGGGCCGAGTCGAGCCCCAACCAGGATTTGAACCAGTGACCTTCCGATTGCCGAGCCACTGTCGTTCTCCCGGCGAGCCACCCGGCCGGATTTATGAAATAGGTGACAAAAACGTTCGTGGACGGAGCGCGTTTGATCTCGGTCACCGGGTGTTGGGGCGAGGCGTCGCTGCTCCTGAAACGCGCTATCGCTTTCCAGAAACACGTCACCTCCCACGTCGGTAAGAACGACCCGGTGACCACGAGGAGCTCTCGTTAGGCAATCGGCCACCAAGGTGGGCAGCGATTGGAGTGGGCCAGCTACTCACTTCCCCCCACTCCCCCACGGGCTTTGTTGTGGTTGAGGTTGTAGTGGTTGTAACGTTTGCTCTGCATTCAGCTGCTGCTCTTCCAAGCAAACGCTCCCTGCCTCCCTTCCCCCACCACTCCCCCCCCCCCCCAGCTGCTGCCGCTCGCTCTCTCCGTCTGGTCCCTTTCACCCAACATTTTATCTGAAATAAAATAAATAAGCAGACAACATGAGGCCTCCTCCTTCACATCCGTCCCTCCACTCAAAAATGTTAATTCTTTGTTACGCATCACATCAGCATTCTATATCAGCATTCTATAAGTGCATCTCTGGACTGGTAGCAACATTCATATCAACATTCAGTGTCTGAGTCGGGCTTGCTTTTGAAACTCCGATGGCGAACTGCCAGATGTTTATCGCCAGCGATCCTCTCATGTGTCCTATTTCAACGCAAAACTATAATAGACAACACAGAATAATCATTAACATAATTGCAGACATTGTAATTTACGATAAATAAGAATTGTCGGGGGGGGGGGGGGGGGCGGTGGGGCGTGGTGCCAAAATGGGGAGCAGCCGAGAGCGATTGTTGTCTCGGCCACTCACGCTGGCTCCGCCAGCTACCTCCCCGCCCCACTCCCGTACCCCCTCCGGAGGCATCTGACGGGGGTGTGTGCAGGAGGAGGTGGAGGATTGTGAGGGGTGGGGGTGTGGGGAGGTACAGACCCCGGTTGGCTCTGGGTGGGACGAGGGGGGGGCTGCGACCCGGCTCCACCTTGGATTTCTGGACACGCGCGCTCGCAGTTTTGATAACGCGCATAAACCCTCGCATTTCATGGTGCTTAGACGCGTGCTGCGTTTTTCATTTTCTCTATTGACCAACGTCAGGAGCGGCCGCGGCTATATCCATACAGCAAATTTATTTTTCAAATTATTTTTTTTATATATCTTCGCCCCAGGAGGCAGATTTATTTTTTGGCTTCATAATCTGGCGGTGTGCGGCGTGCGGCGTGCGGCGTGCGGTGCGTGCATGAGCGAGCGGCAGTGCAGTGCGAGGCTGGGGCCCGGCATGCAGGACTGCATGCGAGCACCAGGTGGCAGTGCAGGCTGAGCATGTCGCAGGCTGTCAGGCGGCGTGGCTTGCTGGGTACATTATACGGATGTTAAAATAATCAAAACCGATAACCATCTTCAGAATACGTTCACAGTTCTGACAAACCGGTTCCAGTGGGTTGATGGCAACGGTTGCCGCCGATTGGCAGGGCGGCATGAGTCACCGCTTGGCGCATTGGCCCTCGCTTTTTCAGTCACACGAGGTGCGGGTGCAACCCTGCGGTTGCTCGCTTGCTCGCACCACTGATGGCAGAAGGACTTCCATGAGAGGGAGCCGTGTAGGGTTTTTGCTGTCCTCTTCCACGCTGACCGGATGTCTTGGAAGAGGTGGGCGCACCCACCACGTGCGGCCTGCCCAGCGACAGGTTCGCTTGAAAAGGGAAAATTGTTGGGTTCGTCGCTGAACGTTTTTGTACGCCTGCGGTCGACTGGTCGTAACCTCTTTTTACCGTTTTAACGCGGTTACTGGTTACGCACAAAAGTCCCCGATGTGGACGGTGCGCGTAAACGTCGCGACTCCCTTGGCACGTGGCAATTCATCGATTACACGAGTCTCTGATCCCCCATGGTACGCGCATCGGACCGCGCATGCACGTGGGTAGCGAGCAGTGGTAGGTGTCGTGGTTGGGGCACACTTTGTTATGAACCCAGACTTTGTATCCCGCTCAAGGCCAAAAAATGTGACGAATATCTGAACCGGTCCTGGGCCTCCTCTAGGTTGACTCGGTCTTAAATGAGTGCCTGGTTCACAATGTAAGCATCGGCACTGGGGAGACAAATGCGGCCGGGCGTGGTTCTAGCCACGCTACGCCCTCGTTCACCGTACCGGCCTTCGTAGGTGCTCGCAAACAGAACGTCCCACACCAGCTTGTGGGGGCTACGTGGGGAATCTGTGTCACGGTTGAACTTTCCGATTCGGATGTAGCCCCCATTGCATTTGGTCCACGGAAACAGAGGAGCCACTCTGGATTCCACTCGCGGCACCAGGGCCAGAATAAATTGGCGCCTGGCCCTGACACGTCAAGGTGGAGCCGTGGAGGAGGTGAACCCATACATCCGTCACGTCCGCGCAGCGCTCTGCTGTAATGACGGAACTGTGCTGTCTCAGCCAAACCCGTCCCTCCTAAACCAAGAGGCCCTATCATGGTACAGGCCCATTACGTGTCTGCTCATATCTTATTCTATCGCATTCTTCCATCTCGGCATTGGTCTCTGCCTATACTTCATCTGCGCAGCACCCCTGGAATCTCCACTGTCATTCTAATCTGTGCACGTGTGCGGGTCTGTGGGTCTCAAATCTACATATTCTTTCTCATTTCCTCGTCTTTGTCTCTTCTTAACACATGCCCGAAGCCCCCTAAAGTCAAAGCAATTTCCTGCTCCAATGGGTCATTGAGGTGGTGCCCGACTCCTCTTTACGGCCCTGAGCTTGTGGCGGAAATACCACATTGCTTTGGTGGGGGCGAGTCTATCCACAGCTACCGTTGTTGACTTGCCCACAAAGTTGTTATCCATTGACCCCATGGGGACGATGGGCCGAGTCAAACCCCACAACCAGGGTTTGAACTCGCAACCTTTCCGATTATGAGCCGCTCGCCGTACTGCCGAGCCACCCGCCGCCCCAAACGTCACAGCAGTGACGGCGTCGGTGCCGCGGTGAGGAGGAGGCGGCGCTGCAGCGGACCGGCGCGTGTTCTCAACCGTGACGCCGGGCCCAACTCGGCCTCCGCTTGGCTGCGCGTTGACCATTACCTTGCCCATTACCGCCACACGCCCCCCCAGGGCCCCGAGCTCACGCTGATGGACGGCAGCGGCGGCGTTCTCTCGGCAGTGGTATCCATCACGCCCGCCGCCATCCCGTCAGCGTGTAACGACCCCCCCCCCCCATCACAAACTCTCTTCCCCAGCCCCCCACTATGCAAGTCTACAAACTGTCACGGTATGGGGGCCACAATTGAATTCGGTAATGGTTTATTTTGTTTTTAAGTTTGTCTCACCAGTCTTGTTTTTCCCGGTTCACTCTCTCGAGGTTTTCCTCTCTGCTCGCCACCCCCACCCCGCGTGACATCGTGTTCTGCGTGGCTCATTAATAATCGTTTCTCACACACGCACGCAATTCCTCGGCACTAAACGTGGCCCACGAATCTCTCCCGATCGACGAATCGTCGCCATTGCGCGGCTTTTCTCTTAAACGCCGCCGCTGAGCGTAGGCCCCGGGGCCAGAAGCGCTCGGCGGCCAGGCCAGCGACAAACCCCGGCTCTGCGTAGCTTTAGCCAGTGCCACCCAGGAGGTGCACCCCCACATCCCCCTCCCCCTTCTGGTGCGGTTGGGTGCTCGGCAGGTTGCCCCGCCCTCCCCCCACTCCGCCCCCCACCGCTTGCAGCTTGGTCGCGAGCCCTTTGGACCCACCGTGCTTCGCTGCTTGTGGGCACTATGGCCGCCCTCCCCCTTTCCCCTCCCTGGTCCCTCCCCCGCCCCCCTCCTTTCCCACCAGGAGGGCGGGGGGGAGGGGCTGGTGGTCACAGGGGGAGGAAGGGGTCTTCATGCACCGCCGGGAGCCGCCGAAGAGTGGCGGAGCATGTGCGCCATCGAGTGCCTCTGGCTGGTGCTTGTGCATGCCGTGTTCTCGTACAGGTCCTGTGCCCCCCCCCCCCCCCCCATCGGGGGGGCTGTGCGATTGAGTGTGTGTTAATGTGCGTGCACGCCTGTGTGTGTGTGCGCGCACTTCTACAGCTGCCTGCCGCCATCTCGTCCAGCAGCGGACTGAACTCGGCAGCCCTGCGCCGGAGCAGCGCGTCGGGCCGGGCAGAAGATGGAGACGCCATGTCGCGCTCCAACTCCTCCCGCGTGCTCAAGAAGTGACGGCCCCCGCTCCCCCCGTGCCCCCTCCCCCTCCGTGCCAGCCCCCCACAAGACTCTCCTCCCCCCATCGCGCCCGGGACGAGCAGCCCTTTGGACCGCGCGCCACCCGCGGTGCCGCGGCTGCTACCCTCTGCGCCGCCCACGTGCGCGAAGAGCGCTCCCCCACGACCCCACGCTCGCGGCGGAACCCGGCTTCCCCCCCCCGCGGCTCTTGGCACCCCCCTCCCCTGCGTGCCCTCCCCCTCCCACGCGTGAACTCTGCTCACCCGGTGCCCGTAGAGAGTGAGATGGAATTTAAAACACGGCGCTGTCAACTGAACAAAACGTCCCCCTGCCGACACCGCCCGGCACAGTCTGCACCGTGGCGTGTGGAGGAGGGGGTGCGGTGTGGGGCGGAGTGATGGGGGGGGGGTCGTGCTCGGTCTCCGACTACCGCGCGCGATTTGCCGGCAACACCCCCCAGCCCTCCGCGTCGAGGTGTGCGGGGAGTTGTTGGGACGCGCGCGTTTCGTAGACGGCTCGCGCGCGCGAGAGACGGTGTCAACCGGCGCTCATGCAGGGTGCCGAGCTGTGGCCTTGCGCTCCGCCGCCGCCGCTGCTGCTGCTGTGGACGGGCGGAGTGTGTTGCGGCCGTTGAGTCTGATGCCTCGTCTTAGCTGAACCCCGTCAGACTGCCGAGCTGTGTTAAAGACTGTTCTTAGCTGAGCCGGGTTAGACCCGGCTCGGCTAAGCAATGTTGCACCCGTCTTAGCTGAGCCGCGTTAAACCTGTCTTATTGAGAGCTGTGTTTAAACGATTTTAATTGAGCTGTGTTTGGCTTTGGCTGATCTTTATTAGACAGGACTTGGTTTAAGCTGTGTTAATCCGGTCTCGGCTGCACCGATAGACTGGGATTTAGCAGAACTGTGTTAAACGGACTGGGCTTGGCTGAGCTCTTAAGACCACGCGTTGGAGCGAGTGGCGCTTGGATTGGGAGGAGGAGGGGTGGGGGGCTGGCCCTTAATGGTGCTGGGAAGGTGGGGGGCTTGGCGACCGGGAGTCTGCTGCTCCTGTGCCAGCTCCATGGGGGGGGGGGGGGGTGCTTTGCTCAAATGGCTCTTGGTTTTTTTTCTTTTATCCGTTTCTCTTGTGAATTTCATTTTCTCTTGGCTGTTTGTGTACTAATGGGCATATTGCATTTTTGAGATTGAATGGGTTTTGGATGCAGCCTTGATTGTCCTGTTCATGCTGGAAAAAGGCTTTTGTAAGCTAAACATTCTGCAGAGTACCTTTTTTCCAATCTGCTTTGCAAGTGGCCACCACATGAATCTGCGACCACCCCCCCCCCCATCCACCCTCCGTGCGCCCACCGGTGGCTTCACGGCGCGACTGATCGGCGCACCGTTGACGCGCCCCACGAGCAACCACCGCCAAACATGGGCGCGGAGAGATCAACGTGGGCGGGGGCGAGCGGGCGGGCGCAAGCCAGAGAGACCGTTGCCTGAAGGCGGGCCCGGCTCTTCAGGATGGCGACGACCTTTAATGAACTCTGTCGATTCTCTTAATTCTTCCAAAAATGAATTTGTTGTGAGTTGTGTTTAACCCCCTCTCCCCCCCCTCTCTCCCCATCGCGTGTAACCGTGCAAGGTCTCTCGAGCGTGTTAGTCGGTGGCCAGTGTGTTTGCTAGAAGAGTTGTCGGTGCTCAATGTTGTTGGGATTCATTGAAAGATGTTGTAGTTGAGAGATTGTGGGGGGGAGGGGGGGGGATAGGGGAGGGGGGGTCGGGGAGAAGCCGGCGGCGACGAGGTGATTAATGTTGCTCCGTCCACGCTACGGAGTAGGGGGGGGGGGGGTCAGCGGGAAGCAAGTACTTAGGTTCCTGTGGAAGTCGCCGCGATGTTGGCTGTGCCAGTCCCATCGCCCAGGTCGCTTGACTGTGGACAAGGCTCGCCTGTGCCCTGTCCCCTGGCAGGCCTTGAGCCCGGCCACAACCAGCAGGGCCACAGCCACGCGCGTGCGCGTTTTGAATCTGCGATATCCACGTAAGCCCTTCACGTTCAGAGTGCTGCTGCGGTGTAATGGTTAGGAGTGGGCACACCCTGCAGTTCGTTGGTTGGCAAGGCAGTGTGTGGCAGGGTCAATTGCTGCTCATCTCATCCGGGACACGTCTGGCCACCGTGCAAAGCGAGACCAAAATACCCTCCAGAGTGGCTCTCGGCCTCCCGTGTAGCGGAGACTTTTCTGCCAACAGCAGTGGCGTTAGCAAGCAATCGCAGCGCTGTGCTTCTACCTGGATGATAAATGTTTGGAGAGTCAGCTAGGCTTGTTAGGGTCTGTTGCGCAAACCGCCCTTGGCGGTGTTCCCCTCGTGCTACTTTACCCGCATTGACCAGCGCGGTGAAGTATGGCCATTAACTCGCAGCCCTGCATGGTGCGGGGAGGCCCCCCTCCAGCATTCGCTTGCCAACCAGGGCTGTAAATGTTCTGCTTTAAACAGCAGGTGTAGGTAAAATGCCACTAAGATGTTTGGTGCGCAGTGACACGGCCGGGCCCCCCCCACCCACCCCCAGCGGTGGTCGGGGGTGCAGAGGTCGCACACTTTCCGCGCACCGCTCGGTGTTGAGAACGCGCGAGTTCCGTTGCGTCTCCCGTAGCGGCGGTGTTCCTCAACTCCCACCGCTGACCCATCTGGCGCTGGTGAAGTGGGGAAGCACTGGGATCTTTTTCAATCAACCCTGGCTTCTAGCGTCACTCGCTGGGCAGGTGTGGGTCACCACAGCCGAACGGCAGGGTGACAGTCGGGGGTGAGGCCCCCACTATCCCACCATGGCCCCCTGGTGAGGAAGCCGGCCACCCAGTTGGATTTCCACCCGGTGTGGTGCTCTGTAGAGAGAAACGTTCATATTTTTTTTTCACTCCCCAACTTTTATTTTATAGTTTTCTTCCCGTGGAGTCTGCTTGCTTTCTGTATTTATTAATGTCAGTCGTAGGTTTTAGCCATAGATATAAGACATTTATAATAAAAAAAAATCTTTTTAAAGATCACAAGTGTCGTGCCCGCTAGTTGTGCGTGTCGGGCGTGGTGGGATTTCTCCGGGCATGACGCTTTCATCCCACGAACGAGACCTGCGTTTACAAATGAGCGATGAATTCACATACAATTCACTTACCCTTTTACCATAACCGTTTCTCCACGTAAAAAAATGTAAGCGTTTTTTGATACACATCCCAGCCACACGTGGCTTTCTGGGGTATAGCATTTCAGCAGCATCGGTGTTAACGAAAGCAAAACTCTGGACAGATTTTAGCATTTCGACAGCTGAGTCGGGTTCGCTTGAACCACTGCCAGATGTGTGTAGGTGAGGTCCCTCTTGTTAGATATGGGTCCTATGTGGAGACACGAAGCTTTAATACACGACACAATCGGCAGTGGAGATTAAAGGTATTCTCGGTAAAAAGGAATTGGTCACCAATCCCAATGTGATGTACTATCGCATTTTAACCTCCGTGATGTTTTATGACCGGGGCCTTGGATAAAATGGCACAGTTCAGCGCTATCGCGTTCCCCGCTTTGTTGCAGAGGTTTGTGGTGTCAGTGGCAGGCCACCCTGGTTAATACTGCGTTGTATTTACCATAAAAAAATGTGCCGTCGGTTAAAAGATTCTTTGATGGTCGAAGAAGAAGAGGAAGGCCTTTCTGTGCCACAGCCATTGTCACAATTTGCCCAAATTAGTCAAATGATTCCGCAAATCACTCGATAGGAAAACCGCAGCAATCGTTGCCTCTGACTGCGCAAACTCAGAATGATTCTCCAAAGAAAGCCTTGAGGCTCGTGGAGGCTCTCCTGGGAAACGAGCAGAATAACTGACCCAAGGCATTTCTCGCCTCGAGTCATTTATTTTAATAGCTGACTTGTGACCGTTCCAAGTTGATTGTGTAACCAGGTGAGAACTCAAAGAGACCAGGATAGTTTTTAATTTGTACGAGTGACCTGGGGCATCAGTCTGCCGGTAGTGGGCGATGACTGCTGCTGCTGCTGCTGTACGATCCCACTTAAGTACCGTGACGTGTGCATTTTCGAACTTGGCAACATTGAGCCCTGACGCTGGCACACGATGGGGCCATACTCTTGCCAACGACGTGGAATCTCCACCACGGCGTGAGAACACACTCGCCTTCGTCTGCCTGCACCGTACCCGACTCTGATAATAAAAATTACAATTCGCGACGTTTCGGGCAATGGTCCGAGTTGGCTGATGCTCGAGGACGTGTGTCGCAGAGGTCAAGCATGGGCAGGATTCTTACTCTTAGTTCTTTCGGTAAAGTCACCATGTAGGTAAAAAATGAAATTAAAATTAATAAAAATAAAAATCACGACGTTTCGGAGGCAACACAAGTCTCCGTCATCAGGTGGGACCGTCACACCCAGATTTGCTGCATCAAGTGAGGCAGGGATTCAAGATGCAAGCTCTTAAATACAAGTTAGAGGGGGGGGGGGCTTATCAGAATGTGGTAGCCAATGAATGGAACGTATCGGGGGGGGGGGGGGGGCTAAAAAAGGCACGAAGTGCTCGTAGGCGTCGACGACGTGGACGTGTTTGTGCGCAAGTCACTGTTGTTACACATGCAAACGTATTGGACGAGGGGAGGGGGTGCTAAAAGAGTATGGGGTGCAAGTGTACGTGGACATGTCTATGCACAAGCACCTGTTGATACACATGATAGAAAATAACGAAAATACCCATGTTTATGGATTGTTCACGGATGGTGGTGGTGGTAGAAGTGGTGACTGTGGAGGTTGGTGGGTCACACACAGATGATGCGAAATTCTCATCCCGTTGGCGTGACGTCGAGGGGAGCCGTGCCCTGCCTGTGCTTGCCAGGAGAAGGCGGTGCAGCAACAATGTTGACCCGTCCACGTGTTCTCTCTGCATGTGATCGTGTTCCCCCCCCCCCCCCCCTCGTGCGCGCGTGGGTTTTCTTTCCAGGTGCTCCGATTTTCCCTCCCACGCCTATAAAGACATTCATTGCCTGAAAACATCTTCCTGTATACAACACCGTAGATCTTTGGCGGGGAGGAGGGGGGGTATTTGAAGCCGGCTTCTCGCCGCGTGGCTGCTGCTGCTGCCTTCCCTCTTGTCTGTGGGTTCCTCCTCCTCCTCGCGC